TGCATCCGATAGAGCTTTAGGAAGTACCTTGCGTCTCAAGATCTCGACTTGTTCCGTGGCAAATGCGCGTTTTTTGCCCTTGGCAACGTATTCTTCCCGGAACCTCTCGTACCCCGGTGCTTCCACGTCGCTTTTGTCCGCCTCGGCCATGTCAGCCAAGGCTCTGTTGAGGGCTTCTGCCTCATATTCAGTCATCGTGTGTCGAGGTAAGAGACCACGATTTTGGACGGGTGTCTTAGCAAAATCAGCAACGCCGTTGGCCGCATTGGGGGTCCGTGATTCAATTGTCCTATGCTCTAGTTCCATGTTGCGACGGCGCTTCTCCGTGCCGGGTTTCTTTTCCAACCTCGGCAGAGAGATGGCGGGAGCTGATGTCCGGTCTTTGGCCTTCAATTGAGAGGCAGAAGCGGAGGTTGTGGGCGGAGGACTGAGACTGGCCGTGACTGCTGAGGCCGGCGCTAAAGGTGTTGGCGCGGCCTCGGCGGAGGACTGTCTTTTGGGAGGGGCGCGCTCTTCAGTCGGTCCGGAAAGGATACTGGCAAACGACATGGGATCTGCCGCCCTGGTGGGCTTCTGAATGATAATAGCGTCAGTGAATAGGAGTTACAATCAACAAAGGGATAACGTACTGTGTCCTTGGGAGGTGAGCTTGCCCGGGGTTCTCGTACCAGGGAGGATGGGTATCCCATAACGCCGTGGCTACCCATAGGAAATTGGGATTCTGATTCTTTTTTGGGCGACGCTTGTGAATGGCTGTCGGACCGACCAGCCGGATGGGCGTGAGACGGGGTGGAGTGGCCGTAGGGAGATGCGCCGTTGCCTGATAAGACAGAGCCTGGGTAGGGCCGCGGAAGAGCGAACTGCGGAGTTCCAGCCGAGGAATGTCCCTGGTATTGCGACGGTGGCTCTGTGGGATGGGAGGAAGGAGGTGCACCGCCGTTCAATGGCGGGAGTGTACCCGGCAACGGGGACGGCGCATGAGAGAAGCGAGGGCTCCTGGACATGCTGGACTGGGGCGGGAAAGCAGGAGGCGTCTGAGGGGGATGCTGCTGGTATTGTTCATTATTGGCGTAATAGGCACGGCTTTTGTTTTGGGGGGAGTAGACAGGATAGCGAGACTGTTGGGTAGGAGACTGAGGATTGTAAGGCGGAGCCCCCGTCATGATGGCCGCGTGTGCCGGTAACGCGGCGGCGAGCGTTCGAATATGATGCCAGCAACAGGAACTGGTAAGGTGACGAGGCGAGAGAGAGAAAATGTGTTCGGGCGAACAGGAACCGTTACGAAGAACGAGGGCAGGCCATGCGCGAAGGGGGTTGAGAGGTTTTATCTCACGAAGATCTCGATGGGGCGATCACGCGTCGGGTTGGTTGCCGCTGGACCAGCTATCTGCGGAAGGAATTAATTCTGAGAGGCCTAAATGGGGAGAAGTGGAGAAGGAAGGCTGGAGGTTATTGGGAGGGAGAATGGAAATGATATGGATGCAGTAGATGATGGCGAGGTGGATGGAGAAGAGATAGAAGGATGGAAGTGGAAAAGGGAGGATCGCCTCACCGGATTGACAGGAATCTTGGGAGGGCTCGAAGTGCTTGTGGTGAGCGAGCCAGCAAACCCTCCACGGGTCAACCGTTCCGGTCAGGATGCAACAAGAAACACAGGCCCAGCCAAGCCGTGAATGGGCTACCCGATCGGGGAATGGTCCTGGGCCGGCTGAGAACACGGGGACAACCGCAATGCCAGCTCCGGAGGACCACGGATGAGTGAAGGACGAGGGGGAAGGTGAAGGGATGCTGGAGATGGGGTCGGTAAGGGGAATGAATGAGTGGAGGTGATTGATGATAGCAGGTCTGGATGATGTACCTACTACTAGGTGCTACTACCTACCTACTACTGATATCTGGGAGGGTAGATAGGTAGATACTAGATCTTGGTCGTGCTCCGGGGGGGGGGGGGGGGGGTAGTGTGGATGTGGGAGTGGTGATCGTTGTAATAGTAGGTAGGGATGGTAGAGGAGGATGTTGGGGAGATGGAAATCAGAATGGTGGTGGTGGTGATGATGAGGATGGCGATGGTCCCAGTATTTTTGATTTTTCTGCACAGCTTCCCCTTGGGCCAATTTTCCCTCGTTTCCCATCTGTTCCTTCCTTCTTGCGTCTTGTTCTTCTGCCCCCATCCGATCCCGCACCTGCCCGTATCTGTATTCCTGTTACATACCACTAGCCGTCCCCCCGATCACCACCTTCACCTTGAGTTCTTAAGTTCCCCCAAGTTGCTCGATTGTCTACCTACTCCCAGCCACCTCCGGCCCTGATTGTCCAATATTCGTGTTAATCTACTCCGTACTCCGTATAGAAGGCAGACATAATGCCCTTTCGGCTTCACTCCCTTCATTTCTGGGCAGGAATTGTCTCCCGGAGCTAGTAACACTTTCTTCCTTCTCCATCGCCTGGTCTCAATCCAGTTGGACCATACAAAAGGACCCCTGCTCCGTTCCCTGACAGAACCGTTTGAATCGGTACCGGTAATAACCATCTCCAGACATCATCGCCCTTCGATCGGCAACGGTGACGGGATTATGGAGACCACGGCCAATCTACCCTGAGTAAACCTCTTCTCAATCACGGCCTCATGTCACGCTCACGAGACTCCATCTAACTCCTGGCTTAGCGGGGCTGTGATTGCGGGTGTTGATACATACCCCTCCAGGGGGATTGGCGCTATCTGAAGCGGTTGCATCTGCTTACGGTGCCCGGAGTACCTAGATAACCTCGACGAAATGGAGTACTAGTAAATAGGGTACTGCTACGGAGTCCTACCCCTACCAGCGCTGGTCTTTCTACGTCAAGGATCCATTGTCTCGGGCGTCCCGCGACTGCGGTACAAAAATACAACATCGATTACCCACCAACGAGCGAGCCGGACTTCAATCCCCTAACACACTCAGGCAGATCACAGAAGTCTGGGCTTCTCAGCTGGTATCCATGTAGATGACTATTGATAGTGCCAAACTGGCCAAAGGAACTTAGAGCGTGGCAATTACCTACATTAGCCCAGTGCGATGAAAAGCAAGCCTAGGCAACCTTTGGAGCTACCGCCACAATATCAAATGCCACGCAGTGGGATCGTCAAACGTTGATATCCAACGACAGCCCCTTATGGAAGCGTTCTCGCGTTAGACTGTGGCTGATAGTTAGAGACTATCACAGGGACTGTCCTGACAGAAGAGCTAAAATGTTTCCTTAGTTGGCCGGCTGGAATCCAAGTGCTACAGTAAACAGCCATTGGTTGGCTTTGTTGAGATTCCCATTGCTATAAACTGGCTATCCGCGAATATGGATAGTCGTACACGGTCTGCATATACTCACAGAAAGTGGGCATGGAAGGCCGTACTTGTACCCACTACATTGCCTCCAATTAGATAGATGTATTTAGTGTAGACATGCTGGATTATGGGGACTCATTGCCACCGTGCACAACTCATATCCACGCCAGATAGACAGATCTGGCACAGGGGCGATTGTAGAAGATGGAGGGGATGTAGAGATGTAGAGTATGTTTGCTCGAATTGCGAGCGCAGCATGAGCGAGACGTTTATAACCAGCCCTACCCACCGCAAGGCCATGATGAGGCCATGGTCAGGTGGTTGCCCCGGAGGTACTCGATCAGGCCATCCTCCCTATCTACGGCCTTCTCGCCTCCTCAACCTTTATCTAAACATCGCCTAGAAGCTTTCGCTGCTCAGTGCTCCGAGAATCCTACTTCTGACCATGATCATGATATTAGGACCTTATCATGTCTGGCCATCGCAGGCCAGAGTTGCCACTGAGTCACTGTCGTGAGATTGGCTGGGCCTTGCGGGTCGTACGCAGTCTAGCAGCAGCAATGGAACTCGATCTCGCTAGGAAATTGACAAGTGAAGGTGGACAACAGAGCACGAGGCTCGTGGCATCGTACCTAACTGGAAGGTAACGCAGAGTCGCCGAGTCGATGGCCGGCGAGACAAGGGGATGCGAGGCCACGAGGCCTGAGGCAGCGGACTGATCGGCCTGGAGGCCTCGGATCACCCGTTCCTCCCTCCATGCGCGTCAAACCACCCCGAAACAAGCGATCGGCCAACAGTTTCCCCGTCGCTACGACTTGCCTTCAATTGCCGTCGTGTTCTGATCGGACCGAGTGATGCGTTAGATCGCAGGAGACCTGAAAGGGAAGCTGTTCGTCCGCTGCATCCCCGCTTCGCCCTCTACCTTCCGTCGGATCAACAACCTCAACCCCTCTTCTCCAAGACTCCAACACGAACCAGAAGCTGCAATTCGGTGTTGGCTCGACCCTAATGCAATACCAGGGGTCGATAATTGCGAGTCTTTATAGTCAGGATCCATCGTATGTGTCTGGGGTTTCACAATGTGTTTCCCCCCCACGCTTTTCCCACGAATGGGGACTGCGGAGAGAGCTCGACTGCAATGACGTCTGTCCCGCCTGGTACCGCTGTCCTCGGCGGGAAATCTCCTCGATGGCACATTCCCAGCCATGGAACGGAAATTGACCACTTAGCTTCAAGGAAGCCAGCCCATGCGGGATTATCTAGATATGGATGGTGGTACGTTCACTGAGTTGTCCGCAAGTTCTCTTCCCTCAAATCAGCCATTCCGTAGGCTCGGGAGTGGCCTGGTCTGGACCATGAAAAGGATTCAGAAGTGTTGCATTCATATTACCTCCTTTCACCTGATCCCTGTCACTGATACTCCTGGGCACGACGTCACTCCATTCACTTTCGGTGATGGGCGCACATCACCCCACCTGCCCGTCATACCCGACGGTTTCCCAGGGGGCAACACCACCAGGGCGCGTCCGTATAAGACCACGGAGGATTCCTCACTCCTTGACCTGGAAGATCTGGATTATCCGTTTCACATAATCTCCATCACCCCCCTCACCTTCCCATCAATTCGCAACACTCACAACACCCTCAACAACCATATCGCCCGAGAACGAAACGCCCATCATGACTATTCCTGAAATACAATGGGCCCAAGTGGTCGAGCAGAAGGGCGGGCCTCCCGTCTACAAGCAGATCCCGGTGGGAAAGCCCGGCCCGGACGAGATCCTGGTCAAGATCCGTTACACCGGCGTTTGCCATACCGACCTGCACGCCATGAAGGGCGACTGGCCGCTCCCTGTGAAGCTTCCCCTCGTGGGCGGGCACGAAGGAGCCGGCGTGGTCGTCGCCAAGGGTGACCTCGTCACTGGCTTTGAAATTGGTGACCATGCCGGTATCAAATGGCTGAATGGATCCTGTCTGTCTTGTGAATTCTGCAAGCAGGCCGACGAGCCTCTCTGCCCGCACGCCTCACTTTCCGGCTACACCGTCGATGGCACCTTTCAGCAGTACGCCGTCGCCAAGGCCAGCCATGCGTCAAATCTCCCGAAGGAGGTCCCTCTTGACGCCATCGCCCCTATTCTCTGTGCCGGTATCACAGTCTACAAGGGCTTGAAGGAGTCCGGCGTTCGTCCCGGTCAGACCGTCGCCATTGTTGGTGCTGGAGGTGGACTGGGATCGCTCGCTCTTCAGTACGCCAAGGCCATGGGACTTCGTACCATCTCCATCGACGGCGGAGAAGAGAAGAAAGCTATGTGCGAGAAACTCGGGTCGGAGGTCAGTCCTTTTGTCGTCTATGTCAGAACGTGCGGCTAACATTGCACCAAAACCAAGGCATACATCGATTTCAGGACCTCTAACGACGTAGTTGCGGATGTCAAGGCGGCCACTCCCGAGGGCCTCGGTGCTCACGCTGTGATCCTCCTCGCCGTGGCCGAGAAGCCGTTCCAGCAGGCGACCGAGTACGTTCGTTCCCGGGGCACCGTCGTCGCCATCGGCATGCCTGCAGGCGCATACCTCCGATCCCCCGTCTTCAACACCGTCGTCCGCATGATCAACATCAAGGGAAGCTACGTCGGCAACCGTCAGGATGGCGTGGAAGCGGTGGATTTTTTCGCCCGCGGACTGATCAACGCACCGTTCAAAACGGCTCCCTTGGAGGAGTTGCCGCGCATTTTCGAGCTGATGGGTTGGTCTCCCTATCCCCTACCCTGTATAGACGATATGCTAACAATGATAATAGAACAAGGCCAGATCGCCGGTCGCTATGTCCTTGAAGTGCCTCAGTAAGCAAGCGTGCAGCATACACCGACAGATCTGGCGTTATAGAATGACTTCACGCATCTCTCGATCGGGCAGATGATATTTCCATCAATCAAACCTGGATGACGAGATCCGTGAAGTTATTAGGATGACTCATGACTAATGTCTTATGGCATGTTAATTACTACTACTACAAAGTATCAATTCCAAATAATCTACTCAACTTTCGAAGATTGCGTGCAGGACAACACACCCCATACACACTATATCTGATCCGTCTAGCCATTACCATAGCTTCTTATTAACTTATCCCCTCACCAACCTATCCCATACCCAGATGGCACCAGACAATAAGACAACACCACCCTCACTCCAATCCGAACAACATACAACACAATGCCGCTACCAAACAAAACTTGATCCCCCCTCCATCAGACGCCGCCTTGTCAGATCCGCCTCCCCAATCCAACTAAATTATTCCATTCTATCCTCCCTTCTCATTATCCCCCAGTCCAGCCAATCAATCAGCAATATTCACCAAATAACATTAACATCCTCGCCCTGTAAACATTCCTCTAACCACCCTAATCTAAATTACTCAGGTCGAGACTAATCCATCCCCATAACCCATGGCCCAACTCCCATGTCCGGGCCCAATGAGATAGTTTTCCATCGTGTTTGTGATGAGGGAGGGTAAGGGAAATACGTATTTTCTTGGTGCGGTGTGGGGTAGGTAGTAGCTTTCGGAGGTGGGGGTAACTACATAGAGGGATACAGAGAGGGGGATGCATAGTAGAGAGGATTATACAGGAAAATAGGCAAGCGGACATATACATACAAAGAGAGACAGGTTATACTCAACCAAAAAAATAAGAAAAGGAAAGTAAACAGAAGAACGAAAGACTAAGAGACAGGAAACAAGAATTAAATAAATGAACTCTGTCAGCATACAAGGAAATAGGTGAATGGGCAAGTAAGTTCTCGGCGAAGGTATGTCTGACTTGGGATAGGAAATCTCCGGATGGATGATAACTAGATATTTATGTGGTCTGTTTCGTTTGGTAATTGTCTACTTCTAGGTACTAAGACCCTCCTGGACCCGGTCATTCTGTACCGTCTTGAGTACTTAATCGATTGCAAATATCTCGGTGCAGTTAGTTTAGGCCTAGTAAAGAAACTACAAGGAGAATAAGAGCTCAGTACATATGCCTTGCTCTAATCTCATAATATGCACTATCCATACACAGCAACTATATACCATATACATCCATACATCACTGCAATAATCACTCCTCGTCTTGCACCCCCATCTCCGAGAATGTAGGCGACTCGCTCACCGTCATCTGCGGACCCTTGTATACCTTCCGTGCATAGATCACATAATACAGCATCGCACCCAGCCACAGTGTCCCGTTGATCACAATTGTGTAGTTCATATCCTGAGCTATATACAAATCGCATCAATTAGTCATTTTGTTCCCCAACGGACCATTCTGAATGTGGACAGCTAAGATATCCAAGTAAGAAAGGAAAACTTACGCGACGGATTTGGTCCCTCAGTCGGGAACATACTCAAAATGATGACGAACGTCAAATACACCACAGCCGTGATAGCAATCGGCTTACTGAGCCACCCCGTATAGAACTCACCCGGACGGAAGCGGTCTTTCCCCCAGACCAAACGGCTGAGGATGGGCACCATCCAGGCGAGGTCGTTGCCGGCAACAGCGAGGGAGAAGAGGGCACTTGCGGCGGCGTCGTCAATGAGGGACAGAAGGCCAAGGATGACGGAGATGAGGACAACGAAGCAAACCATTCGAACGGGTTGGAAGCGGACGCGCTTGCTGACATGGCGGAAGAAAGAGGAGAAGGGGAGGGCACCGTCACGGGAGAAGGCCCAGCTCTGGCGGGAGGCGGCAACGACCTGTATGATGTGAGTTCGTGTTGGGAGAGATCAGTTTGGAGAAGATGTCCATACCAGACTTAGTCCCATGAAGAACTGGACGACTGCTACGACGACCATAAATCCGAGGGCACCGCTTTTGCCGAGAGCATCGTAGTAGATCTAGTAACTGATGGTTAGCACGAAGGATTGAGACATGATTTTCGAGCAGGGGAAGGGTTACCTGGGCCATTGGTTGTCCAAAATTCGAGTTCAGCACAGCATTCAGATCGGGGTTGATCACGGCGGCAATGATTGCCAGGGAGACAAAGCCTAGCAGTCCGCACAGTCCCGCAGACCATATGATTCCTAATGGTACTGCGCGCGCTGCGTGGCTGGCTTCCTCGCTCATGTGGACGCAGGAGTCGAAGGCACCGATGGTCCAGATGGGTGACATCCATGACAGCATGAAGGTCCAGCCCTGGGGCCAAGTGATGAGGTTTTCAGAGTGCCCAAAAACGTAAGCCCCCGAGTTGATCTGCCCCCCTCGGACGGCCTTACCAATCGGTAGAGCGAGGACTGTGGCCAGGACAAGGCCGACGTTGCTGAAAATACAGGCCGACTGGATTTTGGGCATGATGGGCGCACAGAAAATAGCGATCAGGCCGTGGACCACAACGCAGGCGACATAGGTGCCGTACAGGACAGGCCGAGAGGCAGTCCAATTACCATCACGCGCGATAGATACGACTGAAAGAAGCATGGTAGCAAATCCATCTTATCGAGGAGTCAGCAATAGAAGGTACGGGAGATTCATGAGATCCGCATACAATCGATAGAGCAAACACCGCCAATGAGACCGAGACTATTGCTGTATCCGACAACGAAGCTCAGAGGGTTCTTCCACTTCTCCCCGCTGAAGTAGTGGGTCCAGAAATACAGTCCACCGGCAGTAGGCATTGCGGAGGCGAGATCGGCCTGGGTTGAATGAGATAAAGAGCGTTAGAGTGATTCAGCATGCGTGGGAAGGGATCGCGCATCAAACATACCATTGCCAAAGCAACAATGAAGATGAACACACTTGCCGCAAACCACCCTGCAGAGACAGTCAAAACCAGGGCCTGTGTTACACGAGACGACGTCGAGAAGCCTTACCCTAGGTCAAGTTAGCCCAGGACCTCTCACAGAGCCAGCGTATGTGGCCAAGCATACCCAAACCATGCCCACGGGGCCCGCCGGTATCGAGTATGACAGCGTCGAAGCAATTGACGGGAGCAAGCCCATGATACTAAAGGCGATTGCAAAGACCTGCACGGTGGAGTAATGGCGGCGTAGCTCCTGCTTGTACCCCAGAGTAGCTTGTCCGATCAGCATCCGTGTCACCAAAGCAGCAATCCAAGCAAAGCAGCGTACCCAAGAGCTGCAGGTCACCCTGCTCGACAGGGGGATCGTCGCTAGCTGCCTGAGCAGTCTTAGACCCCAGATCCAGATCCATGGCGTGCGACTTCTCTGCCATTGCGAAAAGGAGCGAATGCAGCAGAGGAACGTGGGAAGTGGCCGAGCCGTGACAGCCCGGCATGGGGATCTGCTAGCCACTTATACTGCCGGGTCAGGCGGCCTGCTACCTGCACAAGTCAAGCATGTCCCCTGCGCCCGACGGAGCATGGCTGATAATCCTTCGCCTGATAAGCTCGGCAGGTTGGTCGAGTGGCGTGGCATTGTTGCACTGCGCCTAGGTCGTGCAACGAGCGAGACGGTTCGATCTGGAGGATGCAGCTCTGCTTGTTATCGGCGTCTTATCGCTGGGGGGCACGAGCACGACGTCCGAGCAACCAATTTGGAGTTCTAGACGACGGTGTGGGCTGATAAGATCCCGCCCTGGATGGAGGACATCATTCGGAAACGGAATCGACGGACTAAGACTGGGGAGGAGGAGAAGGAGGAGGAGGATTGCAATGGCGATGGACGATAGATAGTCTGATAGTTAAGTCACGCGCTGGCCAGGCGATTGGCCCGCGACCCCGGCAGAAGATAAGCCCCCTGGTCAAGGAAGGCCGCCTAGTACAGTTCCTTACTGCCTGGCTCGAGAAAAAAAGAAGAGTGAAAAGACAAAAATCTCTGTCATTCATATCTCTAAACGAACATGGCAATCGTACACGATGGCATGCTTCCAGGGTGTCCAGACCCTGCTATGCCAAAGAAACAATGCAAAAGCAGCCTGCACCGGTATATAGCGGATATACAAGCCCCCCCCTCCTTCCCGATAAGAGAGGATCACTGTTCCATGCATCATCCCCGACTTATCGCAGGGGTGCAAGCTACAACCACCGACGGACCCGAGGAATCGAACAGGAAGGAGACCATACCGGACGGGGCTGGCGAAAAAAAAAAAAAAGATAAAAAAAAGAACACAAAATGGAATCATGGATTATGAGTACACGCGGAATATCATCTAAACAGCCCCAGGCCCCTTGTGGTTAGACTGGTCCAGCAGCAGTCGAGGCTTGATATAGTCTTCGTCCAGCTGTCGGAACCACGCCGCATGATCTCCAGATGGCCCCCCGGAGAAGAGGTCTCGGATGGCATCGCGCGCACTCAACCCGACCGTATCCCGGCGGTTGGGTGAGGTGCTGGCAGGAGGGGTTTCCTGCGACGGTCCCAGATACTGTTGCGGTTGGGACGGCGATCGTCGGAGTCGCGATGCGGCCGGAGTCGGGGCAGACGGGGGAAGATCATCGTCGGACGGGGCATCATCCACATCGAGGTCGAAAGAGTCCAACTGATCAGCATCTGCCACACGGCCCTTCCCAGTGGTCCTCAGGCCAAACTCATCCTCACTCGCTGCCTCGCTGTCGCTATGGCTTCTGGCACCAGCACTACCCAGCAGCGTGGCCGTCGACGAACGGTCACGAGCCGTATCTCTTTGGGTGTATGCGTTGGAATAGAGTCGTGCATGGCCTCGAGTTCGGCCCGAGCCGGAGGGTGGAGGGCTAGGACGACGATTGTTGCCGCTCGAATAGCTGTCGTTCCGGTCAAGATCGCCCCGCGGCACGCCGTCCAGCGGAATGGTCGAATCCATCCGGCGAGGCGTGTATCCCAAGCCAGTATCAGAGCGTTTGTAGTAAGTGCCGCCATTGGTAACCTCGATGTCAAACTCATCATCCGACTCGATTTCCTCGACAACGCCGGTCCGGATCCCAAGAATCTCCAGCATCCGAGCTGTCGTACCACCGAAGATAATGACGGTCAACACCACAACAACGAGGACGGTGGCTCGCAGTGCTGGGGCATTAACCCCCTTGAGGCCTGCCGCCAACGCCACACCGACAGCTCCACGCAGACCTGCCCAGAAGAGCATGGCCTGGTAGGCGAAGGGTAACTCGTCGGCAACATCCATGCCGCGGCGACGGGCTCTGTATCGGATAAACCAATTGATCGCCTTGGACAGCGGGAACACCGCGAGGTACCGTGCAAGACAGATGCCGAAGACAGCCACCAGGATAAACAGGGGCTTGAACTGTAGATGTCTCTGAACGAGCAGATCGAGTCCAAGATAGATGAAAATGAAGTTCTCCGACAGCTGCGCCATCACCTGGAAGAGATATTTCGTGGTAAGTTGCGTCCGACGGGACATATTGTAGTATGCGTAGTGCTTGAGAGTGATTCCACAGAATAGGAGCGAGACGATGCCTAGGAATGTCAGCTTGCTCGCGCCGAAAAAGAACGAGGATGCTATTACTGACCAGAAAGATAGACACCATTCGAAAAGAAGTAGCTGGCATAGGCGATAAGAACAATCAAGCAACTCTCAATCTTGGGCTGGCGGCGTACATGCGTGTACTTGAGTCCCAGAGCGGTCATGATGCCGACAATGATGCCCACCATCATACTTCCAAAGAAAACGAGCAAGAACACCCCAATAGCCTCGAACAAGTTCAAGAAAGTCAAGGAGCCCGCATCACTGTCGGCGTACTTCTGCGCGGTCTCGAACAACACAATGGCGATAGCATCGTTTAAGATTGACTCGCCAAAAATGACCGTATAGAGCTTCGGCTCGACCTTGTATAGGTTGAAGATGGCCAGGATCGTAACTGGATCGGTCGCCGACAGAGTCGCGCCCACCGCAATCGCCTCGACAAAGGTGATATTCAAGCCATCCAACGGAATCCTCGTCCAGACATACAAGACTAGCCCCAACACGATGGCAGAGATGAAGGTTCCCGCAAAGGCGAAGGTGAGGATGGTCCCGATATTTCGAAAAAAGTTCGCCTGGTGTAATTCGTAACCCGACGCCAGAATGATCGGAGGAAGGAGCAGGTTGAAGAAAAACTGATAATCGAAGGTGACGCTGTCCTGGATGGGCGACTCGGGACTCAACCGGATGATCAACCCGACAAACATGCCTAATGTAACCCATCTGTGAGCGCTCATCGCTCATCGCCCTGGATCGCGGTATCCGAAAACAAGCAAACAAGGACGATCGACATACCCGCAAATATAGACAGAACCGTTTCATGAACCGCCTGGATTTTCTTCTGTTGGAGGATGTAACTCGTGAATAACGCGAACATCAGCAGCATAATCAGGATGAAGAGCGCCCAGGAGCTGAAGAACTCCTTGTCGCCGGCCTCCGGGGCATCTGCTGTAAACCGACATTGTCAGATGAAAGAAGCTCGTCGTAGGAAGAAGCGATGCGCGTACCATCATCGGGGTCAGTATCAGAGTCCACGGCTCTCCCTGTAAGCACGAGTCCGTTAGTTATTGTCGAGTTCCCCGACCGCGTATGCCTCGCGAGTCACAAGGGGCCGCCTCCTCTTGGGGAAGTTCAGAAGACCCCCCCAAGGTAGCACCCATCTTGATCTTCATAAAAGGGGTAAATGGGGATCGCATGGGATGATCGAAACCTACGGAGCAAGTGGTGCAATACGTCGCCCATCACTTGGCCAGCCATTGTTGCGATGTCCTCGCAACCACCACGCGAATGACGGTTAACGCCGAGCAGCGAGTCTCTGGCACCAGGACCAGGCACACATAATCCGCCGATCGCAAAAGACCTGACGGGGAAGAGGGGGGGGCAGAAAGGCACAATGGGAGCGCAAGCGAGTGACCAAAGAGAAGGGTGAAGCAAAGGCAGGCTGGGGAGTAGCCTAGGTAGATAGATAGTAGGGGACAAGTATTCGTCAACGCCCGCCGGAGTCCCGCCAGACCAAGAGCCGACGCTGTTCGGCCCGCCGATCCTCCTGGCGTGTGACGTCGCCTCGATTGTATTTATTCCATCTAGTATTTCTTTTCTTAATTGAAATTATTGATGCCTACGGCTCTTTCTTTTCTATGCGTTCCCATACTGATGTTACGCCTGGTACAGATTCCTCAATGCATACCCAATAATATTGCTACCACCACTACTACCTCTGCTCATTCCATATTAACAAAAAAAGGCCGCCTCCTCCTACTGTGACACAGTTACTCCCCGTGCTCCCTCGGCAAGCCTGCTGGTCAGGACGGCCGCAAGGACGGCCGCACAGCCGCCAAATCTCATCACCCACCCGACGCTATCATCCCACGGTTCCCCCCGAGGCTTTTGGAACGCCTTGAAGATCGCACTAGAGAGCAAGCTGGATATGATCTGGGGCGCAGAGATGGCTACATTGTGAAGCCCCAGGATGATCCCCGCCTGGGCTAGGTTTTCCTCCTCTTCGACTTCTCCCGCCTTTGCAGCCGGCGTGGCAGAACCATTTTCCAAATCATGCCCGTCGGGAATGGGGCCGGTCGTGCCGTTGGGAAGCTGTGCATCGGACACTGCGCCCTCAGTCTGATGTCGCCGGATCCGACGCTCGGTGTCAATGCGTGAGACCTCCGCAGAGATCAGGGCAAACGGTGCCCAAAGCGTCAACGCCCAGGAGAACCCAACAATCCCGATCACCACCGTTGCGGCTTGATAAGAATAGATAAAGAAGGTGCTGAACATGCAGACAGCAAAGAGTATGTGCGACAAAAGCCACGCACGGCGAAGGGTGAACCCAGGAATCTGCAACTTCGACAACCATTCCTGACCCTCTCCAAACTTGTTCTCCCGGATCCCCGAGATGTCCGCGGGCGGATCCATCGCAGTGCCAGCGGAGGATGTAGAGGCTCTCCTACTGCCTAGGAAGGGCTCTTCCTCCGACTGACTCTCAGTGGGTATGGGCTCGGGAGGAACAGCGGACTTGTAGGTAGGAACAACGAGTATCGGTAGCGTCAAGTTGGTCACAAATGAGACAATTGCGTAGACGAGCAGCGCAAAGGTCCCAATCCTGGTAGCCTCCTCCCACGCTTTGTTGATGTCATCGTCCGAGAGGCCCGGATGTCCTTTGAAAATGGGATTGACAAAGAGCTGCCCAATGTATGTCGTGGAATAGAAGAGGAAAGGGAACCAGCCAACCCACGCAGCAAGTTGGACTTCACAAACCTTTGCAATCTCTGGCGGCAGATGCTTGATCGACTTGAAAACTTGTC